TTATTGTGTTAAGTAATAAGCTATTTAAAAAGTCGTGTTTACGCGTGTATATTTTGTAAAGTTCCCTTTCAGCAATCAAAACTAAAATCATTAAAAATAAAAATAAACATGTGTTCAGTTTCACACGCGGTAGAAGTATACATACAATAAACACCTTATACTTAGGTTAGGTTATTGTATACATTGTATTTGAAGATGTATATACAAGTATATACACCTTCAAATAAAATGTATAAAATAAAACATATAAAACAAAAACATTTCACAGCAAATGATTTATTAACTTCCTTCTGCGTAGCATTGAAAGGAAGTTAATGGTTTTAGCTGGCAGTCTGTTAGTCTGTATGCCGACACGATAACTTCCGTTCCACGGGACCGATTGACTTTAAATTTGGTATGTGGATACCTTGAGGTAGTAGCTCGGTCGAGTTTGAATTTGGGTCCTGTAGGTCAAAGGGCACCAGAGATATGGCATTCACGCAGAAGGAAGTTGTTTTCCTTGAATTTACATTCAACTCGTTTATTTTAATAATTTTAAACCAGAAGTTCGGCATAAAATATAAGATAAAAGTTAAATTTTATAGCAAACTAGCTTTTAGCCCGCGCCTTCGTCCGCGTAGAAGAAAATGGTTCTAATAGGAATTTTAATTGGTGTTTTACGTTATTAATTGTGTTATAACATATGAAATATTATGTTAAAATGTTTGAATACTTCTAAAATATAACAATCTTTATTATAGTGTAGGGATTTAAAGGTTATATAGACATAAAAATAAAATAAAGTTTTGATATATTTTACGAATTTGATCTGGTGAAAGTAACGCGGGGGTATTATCTTTTTACAACGAAATAGAAATACTAACCTACCGCAGTATTTCTTTGTTTTTCCTTTGGGTGCTAGAATCACCAGGTTACTCTGTGCGCTTACTCTGGGGCATACCATTGGCATACAACTGACCGTGGGAGAAGCAAATTTCTCTCAAGTCTACTCCCGCTACTTAAAGTTGGTAAAAAGGCACCCAGCACCAGTGGTGGGAATAGTGGTGCTGGGATTAGTGGTGACGGTGATAGTGTACGCAATTGAGGGCGGGCGGGAGGTGCTCTTCAAACTAGGTACGACACATCATTTTATTTTATCGAGCGGATGTACGCGAAGTAATTTTTTACCAACTTTAATATAATGGACTTCCGCAAAGTAACGCCTAATTCTATTAATTACTCCCGCTACTTTAAGAGTTATGGCGAAGCAGACTTTGATAGGAAAATACACTCTCATGAGTTCAAATGGCTAATTTAATGGTGTTAGTGGATCCCTAGGAATAAATACAGACTCTCCTCGAGAATAACCTGTCAGCATAGTTGCCTTGATTAAATTGCTGTTTTCACTTGCAATCTGGTGCCATTGCATAATTTTGGTGCATTTGGATTGGCGCGCCAACTCTCAATTTTAATATGTGAGTGGGGAAACCGGGCTTCAGTGTATTCAAGAACTCGACCGGATAATGAATGGCATATCATTGGTGTTTATCACTGAGTCGACGGATTTATATTGGTATTCGTCCCCTTCGAATGATCTCAAAAGTATTTCAATGATGACTGAGGCTTATTCGTTTTTTGGTGTTAGGATGGAATGCTCGCTTAACCATTCTGCAGGTTTATCGTGAATATTATTAATGTTTGGGTAAATTTTAGCTATAAGCTCTTCTACACTGGAAACAATTGTACCTAACTGTAGTGTTACCCAAATGCAAGAACAAGACGAGACTTAGCCAGTCTTGGCCTTGGACTTGGTCTTGCAGCAAGAATCTCGCAAGTCTCGTAAATACCTATAAGCCTATTGCTATGTATTAAACGTTACTTTAGATCTTAGAACAACTTAACAGAATAGGTACATTTTGAGCTTGAATTAACATACCCATAGGAAAGACCAACCAAATAATAATTGTCTAAACATTTAATGAGAAATTCGAAAAATCAACTAACACCGGATGGGGTTTGAACCCTCGACCTAAGCCATCCGTGTCGATGCCCTAACCAACAGAGCTATCTTCCGTGTCAGGAGTCAGTCTGTTTCTTAATAAACGTTTACATTTAATAAGTTTACATATGGATAAAACATATAAAAACAAATTAATGACATTAATTTGACAGTATTTTAAAGAAAATTATTTGTCTAGAAAGAGATAGATAGACTCTCACCTTATATGAAATGGAATAAATAGGTACTCTGTAATAATAGGTACTCCTCCAATTCGGAAATAACTAAGCCTTGAAGACAAGATCCAGATACAGATGACGTCGAAGGACATGCATACAGTTTCTCAAAGTCTATTACGTCTTCATCTTCATCATATTCAGATACTTTCTTTTCATTTCTTGGTGATTCTAGAGATTTATTCACTGAGTATAGACTTTTATATTCTTTATAAAGCTCATTAAATTTGTGCTGGCTTTCTGTTTTAATTTGCTTCCCCCATAATGTCATGTCAAAAGTCTGAGCTAAATCCAGTTGCTCTTCTTATAATGTTTAAGCGTTTTGTCTCAAGCTGCTTGGAAACCAAGAATGAGCCTTTCATCCACTTCGAATCTGAAGATTCTGATTCTGAATGATTCAATTTTATCGAGAAAGAGATTGAATGATACAATGACTAGCGGTAATGTAACATATTTTTCTCCACCATATTTCGTTGATAAAAGTTTAAAGTTTATTTGAAACTTATGTATTTTTTCGAGTATTTACATTCATTATCTGTGATTTGAAAATCATTCAATTCGGTGACAGAAGCGCACAATATATTTATGTCAATTCTCACTTTTAAACCAAATCCAATCATAGCATGTATGGAAATCCGTCTCGTTGGACAGTCGAGTATGGAATTCAGATTTAATGACACGCCAGCTGCTTCACAAGCAGACTGAAACTTCCTCTTCAATATCTCACTTTTTTATTTTACTGAAAATACTGCGTAATTTTATTATAGCTGTACGTGAGTTAGCAATATTTGGCGCATATTATTTATCTTCCTCAGTTTCGTCTTCATAGCCTTTATACTGATGTTCTTGTCCGTTATTATCAGTTTCACTGTGTAATGTTATTAAGGTCTTCAATAAATCTTGTACACCAAGGTTTAAATGTGAGCAAATCACCGGAAATGTTGATTTTCTGAATCAAATTGTGGCAGCTGTTTGTCTAGTTCATACATAAATTTGATATCTGTAGTTGCGTTGACGACCGTGATACCCTGTATTTTATCAATTATGTCATATGAATAAACATTCGTGTAAAATCGTTGCAATATCTTCCCCAGTATGTCGACCGCGTGATGGTATAAAATCAAGGACTACAGATAGATACTTCCATTCGTTGTCTATATAATGAATAGTGATCCCGTAGTAACTCCAGCAATTGACGTCCATTAATCAATGGTAAATAACATTTTAGATGGAAATTGTTGTATTCGTTTCTTAAGATTGAATTGAAGCTCTTCAAATCGCTTTTTAACCTTCCTTCTAAGTGTGGACCTATTAGGAAATACCACATTTGGGCAAATCGATCGAAAATATACTTGTGTAGCTTCGTCATCGAAAAATGAGAAGAGAAGATATTTTTTCACCATCAAATCAACTGTAGCTGTCATGATGTTGTCACTGCTATTTTCAGACTGAAATATAACAGTAAATCATGTGTCTCACCGATTATAAAGACATATAAAAATATGGGTAAATCATGAAGATGGTAACACTCTGGGTTATTCACGTGAACCATACAAAATATAAGGCACTTCCGCATATGGAAGTGTTTTAGCAAAATCATCTGTTTAACATAAATAAAAAAAATGCTCACTGTATCGTTTTTGGTGGGCTGTTAACTTTATCTGCGAGGTGGTCGGAATTAAAATAGACTCGTTGACCATTTTCATGGTGGACAGCTAAATGTATGACTGCGGCAAACCTTTCATGTATGGAAAACCCTAAAATCCTCCAAACTGCCTCCGAACTACTCAAATAACGCCTCACTCTCATATAATTTGGCTTCGCCCTTTTTGTTTTCTAGCACGAAAGCCGCCTGATCACTGCCCTTATTAGTGTACTTACAAATGTACTTTAACGATTTAACATAATTGCAAAATTCTACATTAATATGTGCCTTAAGTGTCAGTGGCTGAACCTTATTATAGGGAACCACCCACCTATTGTCTACTTCAATGTCTTTTAATTTAGGTGTAAAGCCACCGTTAGCCGGAGATTGTCTTCTGTACTGTGGGTAACCATCATCACCTGTCTGTGTATCTTTCAAAAATTGTCTGGGACATGTCTTCCTACATTTATTATCTTTCATGCAGGGAGAATTATTGTTAAGGTTCCCACATGGACAGTGTATACTCGTAATATTGTTTTTAATTATATCGTATAAAATAGGATCTGCATTTGGATTTGGTATCTCAGCATATATAAGTTCATCCACCATGCCAAGCGAAATGCGGTTAACTGTCCACAACAATTTGTGACCCCGTTTCTGCCATTCGGTAGAGAACATGAAACGACGTACCTCTCCAAATATTTTTCCTTTGGTTAGAAGTGCCATTATTTTCTTAACTTTGTGGTGAAAAACCCTGGCTATTATGTCGTGTCTATCATATTTTTTTTTGCCCAGGCAAAAGCATCTCCGTGATTTCATTACATCGAGGATTGCAAGTAAATATTATAAAGAGATCGGGACAACCGTAGTGGCGCACATACGTCATGGCGTCTTGTATCCGCTCATGCTATAGCGTGGCCCCCCAGTAAAAGAAGAAGGCAGCACCACCTTTGGACCTAGCTGATCAGCATCAACTTCCTGTCTTCCTATCGCATCTTGCAAGTGTCCGTTCTAAGATGAGCCTGATTGTTCCTAATATAACTCAACCTTTCCGTCTCGATTTTCGCAACCATGTCAACTTAAAACTGGTTAAACAGCGAACGAAAATATAGCAGATAATTATCTTCTGCATTCCTAATTATTATACCGTGAGAATAAAAACTTGCAGCAGGTACCATTTTTTAAGCGGCTGTTTGGTCTTAAGATCGCACTGGGAGAAATGAAGTAGCCATCCTCGCCGTAGCAAAACAAAAGTGGGTACTGTAATGCATCGTATGAGCGATGGATTTTACTAATTCGATGCAATGTGTTATCATGACTCTCGATTACAATATCTCGCTAATAAAATTGCTGTATATACATAATTTTATTATATACAATATTAAAAACTATAATAATAATAAGAAGAAACTAAAACTAGATACTTAGTTATCATATAGTCCTACTCCCCGCGGTATCGTGCCAAGAACGCTGGCTGCGTTTCTTCGCTGAATGGCTATACTTAGCCTTTGAGCGAGAAAAGAACTAGCCCTCTTATCATCAGCAGCAACGACCAGCCGCGGATGGAGTTCCTTTAGGAACTTCACCGCACGTGGACCCTACGGACCGATAGTCTCTACAGCAAATGGCATAAATATGTAGTCATCTCTCAGAGACTCATATTTGCGCCACTTACTCAGTTCAGCTGCCTCTGATGCCGCCCCGGCTCTAAACGAGGTAACTCTGTTCAACAATAACAAAAGCAACTTAGGTAGGTAGGTTGATTATACCGTCCCCTGTGGCCATTTGTAGGCTTTCTTTCAGCATTTGTAACTACTTTAAATATATATGGCGTAGCAGATACTTTGTCCAGGGCTAGCTTGAACTCTCTTACGTATACATTATGAGTATGTAGTATTCGTTGTAATTGCCTTACCAAGCCAGGTCTTACATAAAGAAAGTTATTGTATCTCAATTGAACTTCTCTATCGTCCTCACCAACAAAATATATCTGTAAGAACTGTGGTTCATTCTGGGGTGACGGAAGCCAACTTTCAACCAAATGATACACCTGTGGGCCTAGACAAGTGGCAATCGCTCCGTGTCTAATCCATTTTGAAAATCGATTTCGTCTTAGCTTCATCGAACGTAAAGTGGTAGACCTAGTGACATCGGCAAACCTAACGCTAAGTCGAAGCGTTCTTTCGATAAAAAACAACTTCTTGACTATGGTCTCGAAATGAAACGTCAAATTCAATTCAAGCGCGCTAAATATAAACAAACTGTTCTTGATAACTTGTTAACGTAACCTTTTGATGGGTTGGTACAGAATTTGGCATACAGGTTGCCATTTCGATACACTTCAAATATAATTTGACCGGCTGCAACTAACTCGCAGAAACCGCCATATGTAGAGTATTGTAACATATCTAATGTATACTCTGCTTTTGTCCCATGATTTTTGCCATGACGGTCATGAGACATAACAGCAAATTAATCCCAATTGTTCGTCACATGACGCACAGTTTCTGTACAAATATCCATTGTGCGTTCTTGTGTGTCGTACAACAAATGAGCAAGTAAGTTTAATTAATTTCCTATTGATGTCAACCAACTCTGCTCCTATTTTTAAAATTAGACACAGACAAATTTATAAATAAAAGAAAATTGCGTAAAACACACTAAATTTAACTTCTAGGACAAACTACTACCTACTTAAATATCTATATTAAAACAAAAAGAAAATTATATTACTATACACAACAAATCAAACACAGATATTTTTTACAATTAAAACTAAAAACCTATATTATTATACACTAACAAATCAAACTCAAAGAATCTTAAATTTTCTGCTCACCAGATGTCGCTAGTTGACACTGAGGTAAAGTTTTTTGTTACATAATGTAATTTAATTGAGAAGTAGATTTTTAATAAAAGTTTATCAGTTTCTAGAGTATTATCACAACATAAAACAATCCGTCAGTGGTTTGCTCTTTAATTTTTGCACAATTTTAACTTTTTTTTATATTTTCTACTTTTATGAATATCTCTGGTTTGGTTAATTTATTTTTAATCTTATTAATATAAAATATAGCTAATAGTACAGAAAGAGACAATAACGTTTACATTTTCCGAACAAATTAACTTCCGCGTTATGAAATATGTCAAATATTATACCTCACATTCTAGTGGCGCCGCCCTGGTAGCAGAAAAAGTCGTGGATATCATTATTATAACAACAGATGAAAAAAATAAATTAAATTAACTACACTCAAAATATTCTAATGAAATAAAACCAAACAAATTATATAGCAAACGCAAATATTCGCCAAGTAGGTAATCTAAGAAATTTTCAAGGAATTTTCGAAGGAAAATCAAGCTTTTCATTCAAATAATCCAAAAACAAATAAAATTGAAATTTCGAATTTTAATTCGATTTAAATATTATTTATATTTGACATTCCAATTTTAAAGAGTACTCGTATTGCATCGCATCAAACTTGTACGCGAGTTCAACGTTTTGAGTTTTCAAACAAGTGTCAAAATAAAATGTAATTTTAATCAAAAGCACTAAGGAGTATCCATATCAAATTCGATGCAAATCACCACCAAAATAACTTTCTACCCCTTTTTAACACCGTTAGGCTATGAGTTTCAATGAAATACGAAAAATGTCTTCCATCAATTCTGTTAAAAACTTTGAAGTAGATTGGTCCAAGGAATCACGTTGTCCCATACAAATTTTTCAACCGTTTTTCACTCTAGAATTTCGGGAAATTCTTTCTTCTTTCTTTTCCTTTCTGAACACACCCCATCTAAGTTTCAGGTCTCTACGATCAGCGGTATAGGCTGTGCGTTGATCCGTCAGTTAGTCATTCAGGACTAAGCATTTTATATGTATAGATAAATGTTACAATCCTTATTTTTAGACATGTAGAGGCAAAATTTTTGTGTATTAATTAAATCAAAATAATATTTTCTTTCCAATAAAATTGCTTTGCAATAGCGCCGTCTATTGAAGTCAATCAATTTTTGTTCGATAAAATGATTTTACCTATACAATGAATTCTATAGCTAAAATCACTTTATCGGACATAGAAACAAAAGTTGATTGACTCTCAAGGTGGTCCATAAAATAGACTAAATTAACATAATATGTAAATCGGTAAGATATGAAATCGTGGATTGTTAATAATGGTTTGGATATGATATATTTATTAAATATAATTAATTTTATATATTTGATAATAAATTTGTAATTTATTAATTTCTTATTTTAACATTTAAACGTTATATTAGCCATTTTAAAGCACCGTAGACAGTGGAGGCCGAAATAATAGGAAACAACAAACAAACTTTATACTGAACTAGCTGTTCCCCGCGGTACAAAGAGAACTGTCCTGCCGCGGTATCAAACGCGTATATCACGCTCTGAGCCTTTTATAATAACGGTAATATTAACGAGCGAGAGTTCAAGTATTCGAAATTACAGAACTGATATAAATCTATGATCAAAACAATAAGGTAAGCGATAAGTTTTCCAATTTAGGTTTTTTTAGTTAATTGCATAGAATATCCTTATTTTATAGAGATTTTGATAGTTTATCATATACGATTTGTATCTTAGTGTATCATATCTTGCCGAATTACCGACCGATTGTGAATAGATAACACATTTTATACTTATATTTGGACTTAGGGTTATAACTTACATAAATACGCATTATATATTTTGGAGCTATCAAAATCTAAAAATAAAATATGTTTACTCGATTTCGACGACAGCAAACCTCTTTTCCCTTACGGTCTCACAATCGATAATGAGAAAATAAATTTAAGCTTTTTACAGTCTCGGCTAATTATCAATTTACTTTTTATTAATGAAGTTCTGATTTGAAAGAAATGAAACGAAAAAGCAATACTAAAAAGAGACAAATATATATAAATAAAATGAAATGGTTCGCAGTTGTGCGTGCATCACGGAAAAACTATTAGATAGATTTGCAGCATGTGTTATTTGGACGCCATAGAATAGGACGCAAATTAAAATAATTCAAAACTACGCGCGAATGACGCCTAGCCACCCGATGATAACCCACAGAGTGAAACTAAAACAGGGAATGGGCAGCAGCATCTTCTGGGTCAGTTGCCAACCTGCCTGCCAAGCGTGGCAAACATGGCTAATATTTAAGGCCCCCTTATGAAGCAATCTATGTGGAAGACCAAAGTTCAGCCGTGGGATTGTAGATATAAGCTATAATGGATGAATGAATAATGAACATGATGAAAAGGGGGAAAATCGCAATTTCGCCATCGTCGACTGAACATTTATCCCTGTTTTTTGTGTGGCAATGACTAGAAAGTCTCGAACAGAAAATAACACATCAAACGGCTTGGCTTTCCATTTACTCCCATCGAGTTGGCGGTTGATACGTATTTTTACAGAAAAGTTACACTATTATAAGCACACACACAAAGTTACAATATGCGGAAGCGCGTAATTTTTGAGAAAAAAGTTATTGAAAATCAATTATTCTTGCATTGTTTATATCTAATTCTACCATAAAATAGACGCCATTTTGTAATGTCATTGTCGTCAGTAGGGATGTCGATTCTTTCCGAAAAAGGTCGATTTTTAAATCGATTCAAATCGTAAGCTGATGTATCGATTCATAAAAAAATCGATTTCTAATATATCTATTTTTTATGTTTGCATTTATAATGTAAATATAATTCCATTTTATGAAAAACAAGAAAGATACCATAATAAATGATCTCTTATTGAAATTTGTTTTATTTCAACAGTACCAATTAGGGCAGATAACAAATAAAATATGTTAGGTTCAACTTTGTCAAAGAACCGAATTGATTGACCCCGACTCCACCTGGTACGAGTCTGTCCTACCCCTAGAGTGGTTTTATAGAGCCGGAGGCGCGTAGGGGGAGCAGCCTCCGCCTGCTGTAACAAACTCCGCAGCTTCGGCTTGTTGGTCGCCTTCGGCGACCAGCCTCAGCCGCTCCGGCTCGTCCGATGCCTGCGAATTGTTACGCTAAGGCGTAGAGGCTGCTCTTCCCGCAGCGCCGGAGACGTAGCAGTTTCAAAATAGATACAGAAATCCTTCTGAATCAGTCCCCCTATATTTTATAATGAAGGAGACTTTTTTCGCATAAAATGGATTTATATTTACATTATAAATGCAAACATGAAAAAAATATAGATATTTTAGAAATCGATTTTTTGGGAATCGATACATCAGCTTACAATTCGAATCTATTTAAAAAATCGATATTTTTCGGAAAGAATCGACATCCCTACTGACAATGACAATAAAAAATGGCGTCAGTTTTATTGTAGGATTAGACATAAACAACGTAAGAATAATTGATTTTCAATAACTTTTTTTTCAAAAATTACGCGCTTCCGCATATTGTAACTTTGTGTGTGTGCTTATAATAGTGTAACTTTTCTGTAAAAATACGTATCAACCCCCAACTCGATGGGAGTAAATGGAAAGTCGTACCCATCAAACTTTATACCTATTCACATCATGGCTATGTAATGCCAATACAATAGATAAAAGCGGCGGATTTTCCAGGCATTTGAAATAGAAAATGATAAGGAATAAATCATAATGATGTAATCTAATTTAACTAAAAAAAAAGTCTAAATATACTGATAATATTTTCATCCAAAATTTACTAACTGGTCTAAATAAATATTCGTAATGTATTTAGCAAAAATTATATTAAACGTGGTAGAGTGATGCTGCAGCTATATTAATTGTATAGTTGTTGCCCGAATGGGAATACCAGCGTAAAATAGCAGCTTAATGCAACTGTGTTTCGTATGGTGAGTGTAGAGAACCGGAGACCCTTTTTACTGGCAAAGAGTTTTCGTTTCTCAACATCTTAGTCCGCATCTGCATTTTTATTCGCAAACGAGGATAGTTTAGATGTAGATGTCTATGGATCACAGCAAACACTTACCATCAGGTGGACTTTGTGCTCGCTTGTCACCCTTATTCTATAAAAAAAGGAATCACTGGGTGTTTGCTACCT